GATCTGCACATGTACCCCAGAACCTAAAGTACAATATTAAAAATAAAAAAGAACCTGTTGGGTCCCAGTAAGTTTCCAGCCCTCAACTACAAATACATGATTGGACTTTTACTGCAGATTTAACCAGACTCCTAGACCATTTCTGACTCCCACGGATGGAATTTAAAAGGCTGAAGCTCCACAGCCATTTGCTCAAAATTTTTGCTTTCTTCCCAAACAAAGGAAAAAAAGTCATTTCTGACAAAATGATAGCATCAACATTTTCAGTTTCTGGGCAGAAACCTTTCCTTTGCTTCATCAATAGGCAAACATATTTTCCTCATAGATGTCAGTAATGTAATTTTGTGTTTGCCATTATCAGTAACATTGCAAAATCAATATTTATCCCTTCTTTTACTTACTCATCCCTTTGAAGAATTTGCTATAGGTCTGCTCTCTGTTTGCTTTTTAAGATATAAAGGAGCATTAAACCTGTCTTTGCCCTTAAAATTCTCATATTCCATGAAAATCCAGATACAGAAACCAAAAATGCCAAAATGATGAGACACTGTAAAATTGATGTTTCTGTCTGCTGCAGTCAAGGATGATCAGGGCACAGTAAAAAGGGCCTCATTGGCAGCAGTGAGCAGAAACATGGGACTGCAATTCCGAACACCTGGGGTAGAGATTCCAGGGGCTAAAACTGTAGGGAAGAGCAAGGATCACATTGTGAAAGCTGAACATCAAACGTATGGACATTTACCAGCAATCACTGGGAAATCTTGGAAGGACATTAACCTCTGTTGCTTGCTTTAGAGTCTCGTAATTAGCAGCCAAATAAAATAACCATCTTTAGATACAATGTCTAAAGGAAAGTCATACTCCTACAACTTGGTGGGGCAAAGGATGATTTACTAGAGATATAGGGGTTTGATGATCATGTTTTCAGAGTAATTTTGCATTTATGTCTGACCACAAACCAGAATTTTTTGAGGGGTGGGCAGAGTCTCACTCTATCCCCCGGGTTGGAGTGCAGTGGCACGATCTTGGCTCACTACAACCTCTGCCTCCCGGGTTCAAGCAATTCTCCTGCCTCAGCCTCCCAAGAAACTGGGACTACAGGTGCATGCCACCACGCCTGGATAATTTTTTGTATTTTTAGTACAGACAGCATTTCACCGTGTTAGCCAGGATGGTCTAGATCTCCTGACCTTGTGATCTGCTCACCTCAGCCTCCCAAAGCTTTGGGATTACAGGCATGAGCCACTGTACCAAGCCAATGGCTAACAAATTTTAACTCTTACCCATCCCTCCTATTCTGCCCCACGTCAGGGCAAACTAATAAGAAAGCCTGGGTACACCGTCTTTGGCAAAAAGAAAAGAAAATATCTATGCTCTTACCACCACCTAGGGGATTTTAATCATGCAAGCCCCTGCCCGTTCATAGGAATCCTTTCCCTGGCCCCACTTTCTAACCACAGGGCAACTTTCTTACATTGTTGGTGGCAATATAAAAGATAAAATCACTTTGGAAAATAATCTGGCAGTTTATTTAAAAGGCCTGTGCATGAATATTTATAGCACCTTTATTCATAACAACCACAAAACAAATTCCCATCAAGAGGAAAATGGATAAACCAACTGTGGTCTATTTATACAATGGAAAGTAGAGGGGAGACCTCTTTAGTGCTACAGGAGGACAAATCGTGGTTCAGTGAAGCAATTTACTTACTTTTTTCAGCACTTATTTTTATCTGTGCTACTCCGATGTTCCTTCTAACAGGAAGGGCCAATTGGGTTTGGAGAGGGCGTGGTGGGAAGGCTGAAGGAGGCTGCTTTAGAACCAGAATCCCTGTGTATCATTCCCAACTCTGCCATCTATAAACTTCATGACTGGGGTATTTATTTACCTATTCTAAGGCACAAACGGCTTAATTTAAAAAGAAATGGGGAGGAGGAGTTGTAAGTACTGCCTTACCATATTATCCTAGGGACTCAAAAAGGAGATATCACCCCTGTCTGTGCTCAGCACATGGCCTGTCACAGAGTAGATGTTCCTTAAATACTAGCCTGAATCAGAGGACAGAGGAGTGTCCTGTTCATCATGTCCAGCTGATGCCTTGGTATCTAAGACACCTTTTTAACATTCACAACACCTCACCTTCTTTATGAGGTTTAAAACCCTGCTTGAATGATTCTGTAGTTTATTATCAATGTTAGTGGTTCACTGTGTCTCTCTCTTCTCTATAATTAGTAGGATGATTACAGAAACTGTACCTATCAGGAAGAAGTTCGGTTTTTATAACGTAATTCACCTAAGGCAGGTGAGTTGAGAGATAGTTGGATATCTCCATTAAGAGAGTGCTGAGGCTGGGACACGACATTTTTTTGGCACTGAAAAGCTAAATGGAAGCCAGAAGGTGTTTCAGGGGAATTCTGTGTTGTGGGCTAGTGACTCTTTAATCAGGTAAGCTGAAACCTGCCAACAAGCCTATGAACTCTAAATAAGAATTGCCCAAATCCATCTATTCTAGCTTGTCTCAAAAGTGTTCCCTGAAAACCACATCCCCTGAAAAGAACCTCAAAAAAAGGAGTGAGGGGTAGGATCAGGTAACTTTAGGAAAGCATGAATATACTAATTACCTTCACCTTAGAAAGCCACACTAGAGTTTAGCTAATAAAAATTTCAAAGACTTCTGCTACGAACCACATTTACTTAAATTTAGGAGAATATGGCTTCAACAAACTTACTGAAAGATGAAACTATTTTTAATAACATTCATTAATGTGTACATCATTTATATAGAGTAATGGGAAATGGAAAAATCAGATATGTACCAATAATACAAATTAAAAGTTTCAAATCAAATAATCTATCTGTGTACTCAAAAAACAATTTGATTTAAATTGGAGAAACCACATGCTGAAGGAAAGGAGAAAGTTACTTGGTTTTCTTTCCAATTCCCTGGGAGAATCAACTTTCCTTCTCCCTCTTCACTATACGTGAGCTCTATCACCTATAAAATAGATGTTAAATGGAAAGCTGAAAAAAGAATCTTTCCCTTCACCTGCCTAGTATGTTTCTCCTGTGGTAATTAAACATGAGTGTTGATTTTCCAATTCCTACTTTCTATCTCTACTGACCTTAAGATCCTGTTTCTAAGAGCTACGAGGAAGGGGCTGACTAATAAGGGTTTTTGGGAATTGCAATAAATATTTTGAAATTTAAGTCATTTTGTGTAGAAACAAACAATAGTATTTAGGAAACACATTCCCCCAATGTATGCCCTCTGTCAATATACTAAATAGATAAAGTAGAAATTTGCTATTTCCTTTTCTACACATATATACATATTCGAATGCTTTACCTGTGCCTGGTAAATTATTCAGTTAGGTCACCCTGGAAGCTAAATTTCTGCAGAGAAGAGCTGTGGCAGGGAGAAACTGGCTGGCACCATTCTTTGCACTGTTGCAGCCAAGCTGAGCAGAAGATTCTAACAGTGTCCACTCAGTGGCGACTTTTCACTGGCCGGTGCAGGGGCTGTTCCCTTATCTAGTGGTTCCTGGGGAAAGCTTAGTGCCAAGGGAAAACAAAGAGCCTGAAAGAACAAATTTATGCTAAAAGTGTTTGGTAATTAATTTTGCTCATTATGCATGCATAAAATTTGGATGTTTACTCCATCCCATGAACTGCACCAAATGCTAGGGATGAAGCTGACAGCCAAGCAGACTAGATCGCTGTTCTTATAAAGCTGCCATTCCAGTGGGAGAGGCAGAAAATTGACACTGCATGAACTAAATCTAAAGCTCAATGCAATCACAATGGCCTGTTCCTGTCCCTCCAACTGCCTGTAGGCAAAGAAAGTATCTCTCTGGATTTCTTTTCTAATGACCAGTTAACGCTTTATGTTCTCTTCTTTGTGTTTCTCTCATTCTCATCACCCCATTCTTTTATTATTTTTGCACACTTAAATAATGACTCCTACACGGACTTAAAGACAACAAAATTTAAAATAAAATTCATAATAATTCAGGATATCTACCTAGGATTTCCAAACAATTTTGCTATTGAAAAATATATATATATGTTCTTTTAAAATACATAAATATATAATTAGAGACTTTAATTTACTAGTTAGTCTTCACAGAGGACTTAATACATTCCAGATACTTTTCTAAGTGCTTTTTAAATACATTAACTTATTTTAGCAGCATATTGGCCTTAAAGAAGGTACATTTATCATTCCCATTTTACAGATAAGCTATCTAAAAGTAGATGAAGCTATAATAATACTTTGTTCAATACAGCCATTTAATAAGGTGATAGAGTCACACTATGATTCTGGCATTTTTGACCCTGCATTGCCTTTCAACATGACCACGTTATTAAAAAGAAATATCTATTTATTATTCAAAAAAAGAAAGAAAAACAGTGGAAGGATATAATTTCAGAGTACAGGTAGACCCTAAAATTACTTATATAAAGAATTCACTTGTCCTAATTTTTCTCAATTCACAGTAGCCTGGTAAATGCTTTATCAAAAGCTATTGCTGGCCCGCTACCCTGTATTCAGGAGCCAGAGCATCGAGACATTAGCAACATGGAGGTTTTCAATTCCCATCTCAAGCGACAGCTCCAGACATTATAGATCAAGAGCATAACCATGTTAGTCTTTGTTAGAATAACATTCATAATCCATTTCATAAATACTTTTAAACATCTATAAAAATACCTGAATTTTATCCCCATTTGTATTTTAATTTTAATAGAACGTTGCAGCAGTACAGGGGCTGAAACTACCACCCCTTGAAGCTTCATAGGAAGTCAAAAGTTTGGAAAACGATCATCATATGAGGAAGGGTTCTACACACAGTCCAAGGTCTTCAGGGGGCTGAGAGTCCTCTGAAATGAATCACAAAATGTTTCCAGTTTCTGCAATGGACCCATCACCATTCTGGAAGATTTATAGCTTTGAAATGATTTTAATACTATATTTATTCTATAAGGGCTTAAAAACCACAGCTCCTGCCTCCGTCGCTAAGTTACTAATTGGGGCAAGTCATTTGTTCACTCAGTATACTCAGTTTTCCTAGGTATCAAATTGAAATAACATGGTTTCTGCCTGGCACTGTTTCAAAAGGATAAAAATTAATGAAGGTATATAATCATAAGCTGTTATTATTTCTCTGTTCCCCATATCCCCTCTGAGAGAGCTTGTGAAATTTAGCCTTTAGTTTTATGAGGGTACTTCTGGGTATAGTATAAATGGACCATACCATTTGCTCTGTTTCTTTTAGAGACTTTATTTCAATATTTTATATATACCCCTCCCCCGTAGATATTTTAGCATTCTGTACTTACTGTTTTCTGAAAATTGTTATTTTCATTTGTTCCCAAAAAACAATAAAAATTTTAAATTGAGGGTAAGTATAAACAGGAAACATTTCACTCTGTTCATCAACATGTGGATGGGATTTGCAGTGGGAACAGGCAAATACTCAAATGACAAATGATAACTTCCAAGATCAAAATACCCTAATAAGCATTATCTTAAATCAGACCAGCACTTGTGTAGGCATAAATGTGCAACAATGAGTGGCCGCAAAGGAGATATCTTCTAATATTATTATTATTTTTAATCTAACAAAAGAAATTTTTGAAATGATGTGCTTTTCTTCTTTTCTACTTTTCTTAGAAAAATAACTACAAAAAAAAAAAAATCTCTTCTGGAACCCAGCAAACTCTGAGTATATTGTGTCATTGTCATTCACTTCTAGCTTCAACTATGTGTCTATGAAAAACTACACCTATATAAAGCACAATTTTTAAATCCTACTTCAAGTGTTTTTGAAAAGCACCATTCAAATTGCATCATTTTCATTTTGACGAAAACATTTAAAAACATCTTTGTGAATTAATGTGATATATAAAATACATGATTGTTAACTCTAGTTCTTCTACTATGCAATAGACCACCAGAACAAACATATTCCTCCTAACTATAGCTTTGTACCGGTTGACCAGTCTCTTACCATCCCCTCATCTCCATCCTCTGGTATCCACTATTCTATTCTCTACTTCTATGAGAATGAATAAATACATGTTTAAATTAATGGTATGCTAATTTCCCTGATTTGAGCATTATACAGTTCATACAAATATCCAAACATCACATTGGTGCCTCATAAATATGTACAATTATTATGTCAGTCATAAATACTTTTTAAAATTGCATTATTTTCACACCAATGGAAGTTCAAGTAACGTGTATTTCGATTTTAAAGCTTACCCTTATAGAGCCTGCTTTCATCATCTCTCTCTACACAGGAATCACCAAACAATTATGACAGGCAGCTTTAGCAAATAAAAAAATGTAATGCTCATTTAAATTTGAATTTCAAATAAATAGCAAATGTGCTCAGTATAAGTATGTACTACCTATTGCATGAGACATGATTATACTAACAGTTTACATGTCGTTTATATCAAATTCAAATTTACCTTTGTTTTTTATCTTGCAACCTTACTAATAACGTGTTAAACATCAAGGATCTGTGTTGTGACGTTACCACAATTAGATAAAACTAAACCATTAAGGACAGAAACAGAACTGTACTGAAATTCATGGATAATTAGGAGAACATATATAACATGAAAGGAAGGTGTTTTCCTCTTGACTTTTGAAAGTTAAACAAAACTATGTTCTTACAGCAAAGGGGGAGAAGTCACATTTTGCATAAGCATCTCATCTTCCAAAATTGGAAGAGTCAGCTGTATCACACGTCCCACAACTATTCAGACATTAACAATACTATTCATAACCTTGAGCAGAATTAATAAGAGACACAAAATGAACAAAGAAGGCTAAACAAATTAAATGGATCTCTTCTTTCACTGTACAATAAATTTTAGTTTTGTTCCAAGGAGATCATATATTTCATTATTATTAAACGTGTCAGCAACATTTTACCTGTGAAAAGCACAATTTTTTTTCCTACTTCTTCCCCATTATTACCCCAAGCCCCTTATTCCATACTTTATGAGTCAGAGGAGGTCTTAATTGCTGCTTTTCAGTGTTACAAACTCTGAAACCCAAGGTGGCATTTTGCTAAATGGATTTTACATATGGAACATTGTTGAACATTTGCAAAAAATAATAATAATAACACATAATATAAACACATTCTTAGGATTTTTCTCTTATGTGTAACCTTTAGAAGTGGAAATAATAGGCCTTTATCAGGGGAGCAAGACAAGTTCCGGTTCCTATTAACTTCACATGATGTTATTTCCCCTTGTGTGGCATAGCCTACAAGCTACCTTACCATTTTCTCTCCTCTCTCTCTCTCTCACCCATCCCTCAATTCTGAGAAACGTATTAATTATTGTAATATAGAGAAACACTATGAGGTGTGAGCTGCGTGAGCGTCTTGATGCTCCCTGCTTCCCCCTTTGCCTTGTCCACTGGGGTATTTGTGTGTTTATCAATTTTCCCTGCATCATCAGTGTGTTAAAACTGCCAGAAGAGAAAAAGAAATGATTCCCCTTGAATGTAGGAAGAATTGAGGGTCTGCTTTGAGAAAATAGAATAAAACTGTTGTGGGGAATAGTCGAATATGGTAACTGGGGGGAAGTTGGAAATTATTTACAAAGCTGTGTTTTGCGTAATACATTTTCAGAATGATCTGATAGGGTGATTTTGATAATTATTGTGAAAAGGTGTGTGAAGTATGATGCACAGGACCTGGCACCTGGAAATTGCACAATAAATACTATTGATTATTAAAGGTCAGTTCTGTTCCTCTTGTGTGTAAAGCATTATAAATCCTGCAAGGTGGGTGAGATACAAGTTTTTTATGAGACCTTAATGTCAACAGTAAACTTGCAGAGAAGACCATCTTCTCCTCATGGGGTCCATAATAATGTCAAAGAATAAAAAATGGTGGCCTGGATGACACTGTGTGCAGAAAAAAGGGAATGTGAATTTGAGGGGAATTTCACCACTTTCTGAATGGTGTATCTTGAAACAGCCTTGCTCAAAGGGTGCTTTATCATAGGTGGGGCCAGTAATCTTGGCCTGTCCAGAACAATTTTGGCTTTGGACTTCCATAAACCAAAGGAGATCCACAACCAAGGGACATGAGGCATCTCTATGTGTGTCAGCCTGATTGACCTGTAGGATCAAGAGCAATGAGAGCCACAACTCAATCCCTCAAGTTTCTGTATCTTCTCTTTCCCTCACCCTTAGGACCACATCCCAGCAATGCCATAGCCAAAGGAAGTTTGCTCTCTCTGCTGAAAAACAAGCCACTATATTTATCCAGATGCATCAGCCAGCTTCAGAACTTATCAAAAGTAATGTAAGATCATTTTTTGTTTTAGAATCCACCCTCACTCCTTCCATGATCATTTTTGTTCCCCTGGAGCCACTTCCTAGGATTTCTGAAGCTGTCCCATCATGTTGTCTGGGATCTAGCACTGGAGAGCACTACTGGGTCTCCTCCCTTCCCATCTCTGCACTTTGCCTTTTCTCTTCCCTAATCACTTATCCAGCAATCATATATCCTATTCCTTTTGGCCCACAACCAAGAAAGTGTTGCTTCAAATTCTGAAATAGACAGTGATTTTATGTAGCACATGTATACAGTAACAAAAATTAAAGAGGCTATTTATTGGATATGACATATCTGTCTTATATAGTTCTAGTGCTTTATAATTCACCAACAACTCTATGAGGTGGTACTGATTTTATAATCATTTCATAGACAATAAAAACTGAGGCTTGCAGGGATGAAACAGCTTGCCCAAGGTCAATAGTTAAGAAGGTAATGGAAGAAGGATTTAAACCTAGGGTGCTTGTGTTCAAAGCATGATCTGTTAGCTACTAAGCTAGCACATCTTCATCCCAGGTGCCCTTTGAATTGCATTGACATTTTAAAAGAAATTAACATGAGGCTATGACTTCCTACCCTTGAGATCAATCACTGAGAATATCTAAATAAATTTTGGTTATGATTAGAGGTTAGCAAATCAACAAGATTTCTTAAACCAAATGTAGTCCTTTTAAGCACACTAGCAGTATGGAGAAGTAAGATGCTAAAAACCGACTCTCCCACATATAACTATAAACTCTGGGTAAAATACAACAGGCAATTACCTTAGAGCTCTAGAGAATGAAAAACAGCAGGAAAATTTTGGAGAGGAGTCAACACATGGAAGAAAAGGCAAAAAAGCCAAGTACTGAATGAGTTTCTCATTTACGGGATTTGGCTATGAGGCTAACTATGGTTGTGGGATAGTATAGAGGTACTAAACCTCCCGCTAAAGGTCTTTCATCTTTCTGACCAGAAAAGACAGAGTAAGCTGCCTCATGAAACTAGGACCACTGGAAAAGGGGGTTTATTCCAGAAAGGAGAATACTAATATATAAAAAAACCAAAATATAATATATAAATCCTGCTAAAATTGTTGGCTGCCCATTAAGTTACTATTGCACAATGTACACTAAAGTAATCTGAACTAAAATCTAGAATCTAGGCTGCTACCCACTACCCACTCTAACCAAAAGAGTTTTCAGTTTGCATTTAATTTAGCTAATTGTTTGCTTAAGTATGAACAATCTTTATAGAAATGTAACAGAATCCAGAGTCATTAAAACATATTACTTACAGTACTCAATATATGATCTGTAATTACTCAACATACAAAAAGCAAGAAAAATGGCACCTATTTTTAAGAGGAAGGATAATTTTTAAAGGTCCAGTCCTGAGATATTTCAGTGGTTGAAATAAACAGCAAGGACTTTAGAACAGCCATTAAAACTATGGTCAGCATAAAAAGGTAAAATATTCCTATAATGAGTGAAAAAACAAGAAAGTCTCCTCATGGAAGTTAAAATCATTAAAAAGGAAGAAATGTAGAACTTATAGTATCTGAAACAAAAATCTATTTGAAGCAATTAAGAACGGGTCAGTGAACTTGAAAATAACTTAGCACAAAATACCCGATCTGAGGAAAAGAAAGAAAATTAT